TATGAAAATGCATGCTGGGTGAGAAGTAGATAAATAAGAAGATAAATAAGAGGGAGAAAACAAGAACATCTTGTTCTAAGAAAGACGAAGAAGGATGCATATATAGAGCAAACTAGGTGCCCGGCTAAAAAGGAGGGATGTTAGAATGTGCGAAATTGAATGGAGTTGGTCCTTGGGACTTTGAGAAGGGTAAACGGATAGAATATCAGAGTCGAAGAATAAATAGGTCAATAGAATTGAAGAAATATGAAAGGGTAATAACGAATAAGTAAGGCTCAGAGCTAAAGCTGATGCGTAAATGAATATGTTGTGCCAATGGATGTATAACTGTGGGTTTAAATAACTCGATAGCTGGAATATCAAAAAGCAATGAGGACAGATATGATGAGAGAAATAGAGGAGTCAAGGAAAAAGGTTGTGCAGTATGGCGACTGTTCGCAGATTCGGGGTTTGTGGTGGAGGTACAGGACGAAATGTAGGGCAGATATGGGGTAGGGCAGGAGGGTAAAACCTGGAAGTCAAGGTCATGAAGACTTTAGGAGTTGATAGAGAATGTAGATGGAGAAGGAGATGTAGTGAATTGGGTAGAAGGTGAAGTACGTGCAGGAAATTAGATAGCGCAATTTGGGGGGGGGGGGGGGGTTAGAGAGGTGCGAAGACAGCCAGGGGAATTGTTTTCAAACAAACGGAAGAAAGATAAGGCGATTGGGGGAATGGAGTTAAACATACGGAAAGGAGAAGTCAAGGAAACTAAGGAAAGGGTGCTTAATGGGTAATCACAAATAAAACAAGGAAAAACTAATAAAAACAACCAGGGTATTAAAGCGAACGTGGCTCATTTAAGAGAGCATCTTTTTTTAGGTGCACAGGCAGGTTCCGGAATTTTTGGGAGTTAATTAACAGGGGTTAGATAAAGGTAAGAAAGACGTCAAAGTAGCATAGACTGGATGCTAGTTATTTCGAGAATGCCGGTGCTATAAGGCAACGTCCAGCACCAAGCTCACATCTCGCACATGGCTGTGAGCTAGGTCTTCTAGTACTGGAATGAGGTCGAGGAGCTCGTTGTCATGGGCGTCTGAGAACCAGCTGCTGATTGGGATTGCATGCTTTGGGTGAAATATGTAGGAAGTCGGGGAGTTATCGATAATAATCGTTTCTTTAAGGTCACGGCCAACTTGCGATAGGTCCTGGTAATAATTTAGCAAAGGATATCTAGCAATGTATATCCGACGAATTCTTGGCATACCTTGACATAGTTTCCTTGGTGGTTGTAGCAGCTATCTCTAAAGAGGCGATGATGGACAACTTTATGGATATCTAGTTTATCTAGTAATGGATCTCCATACTGTAAAGGGGTTAGCCACAGGCGCATAATATAAATCTTTTCAGAAGGGACGACAAACCTTTGATACAGATGCAGTGAAAACAACAACCTCGTAGAGTTCACCAACACGTTTCATGAACTGGTCTACTCCAGGACGTTTGATCACATATATATTGTGATATTGTCCCTCTATCTCGACGGGTATAGTGAAATCAGCTCGATCAAGAACCTGAGCACAAAATTGTTAGCGATACGTTTATCTAGAAAGGAAAGAAAAATGGGATGTATATCATACCTTGAAGCTGCTATGAACAAGTGTTTCGTCGAGATCCAAGACTAGGCATTTCCTGCCAGAGAAATGGTCTTGAATGGGGGGCAATAGCCATTTTTGCTTTTCACTTTGAACAGATGGTACAGGAGGAACCGGTTTATCAGAAGCTGCTTGGGGATATGCGAGGTCCAAGGGAGGTGGAGGTGGAAGAGGGGTTTGATGGACAATTTGGTGGTTCGCTTCGGCGGCTGGCTCATCGGCGCTGGCGATAGGGTACTGGTCATGCATGTCGGTTTCGTCGCTCCGGTTCTGTTGCTCAGGAATGGTAGCTGGTGTCTCTGTGGGCTTCTCGGTTTGGCCGGTGGCTAGAGAGTTCGATGCGCCAGATTCCTCTGACAAAACATGTACTGGGTCAAGTTTGGAACTCTCCGGGAGGACTGGCTCGTTTTGGTGGTGAGTGTTACTGTCACGGCCAGAAAGAGTGGATTCTTCCTCGTCTTCTTGCTTTGTTGTAACAGCAGCTTTCTCATCTACAGCAGCACCGACACTATTCTCAGCTATGGGGGCACTTTGGTCATCGAATATTTTGATTGCTGGCTTTTCGGTAGTGGCATCAGCGTCATCCTTCCTGTCGGCACTACCCGAATCAGCAACGCCAGCATCCGCTTTCTCGGATATTGGTTGGGTGGTCCGGAGTGAATGAGGTTTGACAGTCTGCTTTGGTGGGAGTGAAGCCATGTCTTCACCATCATCGTCCTTTGGCGCACGGCAGCAGCTTAGAAACGACCATAGTGATCCCCTTTGCTTCCTATCAGACTTTGGATCATGTTCGGCCCGTGAACCTCCATTTTTAGAACCGATATGAGGACCAGCTTGATCTAGAGGCTGTGCGTGTCGTGACCTTGTGCTACTAGCCTTGCTGTGGCTCCCCGTCAGGTTTGTTTGCGAAGTGGATAGCGAGGCTCCAGTGCCTTCCCGGTTGGTGTCTTCCGACTGCGAGTGTTCTTTATTCTTCTTTGACGAGGACCGAGACGGTATGCGGAGAAAAGACCGCTTTTTCTTTGGGTGTTCCGTTGTCTCTGGAGCGGAAGGGGATGCATTATGAGGCATGTCGGAAGGTCCTGTGTGACTTGCAGGAGCTACGCTCGAGTCTAGTTTCAACGAGGTTAATCTCTTGATATTCACCCGGTTATAGAGCAACATGATCGTCAACATACCTGGGACTCCAGAAGGGGCGGACATTGGTACCGTGCGATATAATTATTTCAGCGACGACGCCGGAGCGTGGAGAGGCTTGGGCTAGCTCGGGGAACGAGGTGGCCGTGTGGGATGGAGCCCTCTCCGTCAATTAAGCACCTTGTCACCGACAAGAGCGAGTCGTAGGGCCGACCGATAGTTCCCAACGGCTTCTAACCGTCAATTTCAAACCAAGGAACCGTTGAAGTTGGGTTAACGTTTTTGTGTTAGAAGGATTCACGATATCACAAGCACACCCCCCAAAAAAAGCTATCGTCGCAGTCACTTTTGAAGGTATTAAACAGGGAAAGGCCGAATACTTCGAGTCCAGCAGCCTATTGCGAGAGTGTCTCTCGTTATCCCCCGCCTGCTCTTGATCTTGAGGCGGCAGAAGTTGAGTCGGAGGTCGAGAACTCCTCTCCCCCTTTGGAGCGTGCTTCAAGAGAGTACCGCCTGCTCGGTCCAGACGAGCGAAACCGGCGGTTATAAGAAGTCGCAAAGCGGCACTGAGGCAGATGGCTGGCACCGGCAGCAGCTTGGACAGTGTCTGGGGGCAGCAGAGGGTCGAAGACGTTCGTCGGCAGCGGTGGTCGAGAGATCGGGCGTCGGTGCAGGTCGGGTCTCTCTCTTGGAGCAAGCAGCAGAGGCAGGAGGAGGAAGAGGAAAGCGAGAGGTCGAAGTTGGGAGCGCCAGAAGTTCTGGGTAGGCTTACGTAAGGCTGCCTCTCTCTCTCTCTTTTTGACTGGGTTGGTCGAGAAAAGGTGAAAAGGGAAGCGGTAACCTTGGTATTGGGGCCGTAACAGGACGCTGCCCAGCGGGTGGTCAAAGGGGGGCGACTTGGGGGCGAAGGGGGGCCGGCAGAGCGGTATTGATACGGGCTCGATACGGCCGGTAAGAAATACTTTATTTTCACTTCGTCCTCGTTCGCTAGCTAGCTAAACCATCACTTCTTCGCGGTGCTGGCTCTCACTCTGGCTACTACGGAGTATATGTACGGAGTACTAGTGCAGCTGTCCGTCTCGAGGCGACAGGCTTGAGAACTCGACTTGGCTCGGCCTCCTTGTCAGGCAGAGGCAAGGTGGTATAAATAGGGTGAGTGATGGCCCCCTCTGGAGGCCGCCTTATTGGGCAATGACCTGCCCTCATCACAGTCCAGGCGGCCAGGGTGTCTGCTCAGTGGCCAATCTGCGGCGCTGACTGGCGGGAGCCAGGGGCGACAGCACGCTAGCGGCTGGTCTGCAGCGGACTAGGAGGCCGCTCAAGTGCTCCCGGTCACAGCCTGGCCCATCAAAGGGGTACGGAGTACCAGCTGTGTAGCCATTCTCGTCGCCCAGCGTCAGTCAGGAATCATACACAACCGAGTGCAGCGTACAGACGACATGGTACCATGTACGGCGGAGCGTCGGTTCCAGTTATTGGGCTGGGATTCTCATCACATTATTGCTGATCTTCAGGTTACATAACTAACACTTCTGGTGGATGACAAGGGAGGACGATGGTCAGTAGCTACATATATGGGGACCGATGCCGGGCCTGGAGCTTCTCTTGATTTTACGCATGACATGACGGGGGGGCGTCTCTTCATGGTTGCCGCGTGATTTTCGACACATCCTCGACATGACACCCATTCCAGCTGCCGGAAAGGTTATTGATATGGAAAGGTCATTGCTCTGACCGACCAGGGGGGGGTCGATATGTTCTACCCCGGCCAAGCTTCGACGGAACCTTCTGCGGGTGCTCGACTTCGATGGAGCAAAATATTTACGTTACATACTCCGTAACCAAGAAGCGATTGCCGAACAACCGCAGGCGTTCTCCACAGTTTGGGGGGTCAGCTCCCTCCCAGCTCCTTGACTGGTCTTCGGGGCTCTGGCATGCGCATCATCTTGTTTGCACGTGGGAGATTGAGCTTGTAGCTACGGAGTACTCCGTACTTTCCCTTCCATTATTCTAGTTGTCGTCTTTTTGGGTGCATATCTCTCGATCTGGATCATCGTGTTTCGCCCCCGATCTAGCCAAGACCTTTTGCGGCTCGAGCCAGACACGAAAAGCAATGGGGCAGGGGGTTCGACATAAGTATCTTGTTTGCGCTGATCGTAAAAGACAGAGATTATTTACGAGATATGAGCAAGACAAGCTTTCCTGACAGTATCCCGCGAGGATCTCAAAATGCAGTCACAAGGTACACTCTTCTCTCTAGCCGTCCGTTCTTGCAAGAATTGGGCATGTTTAAACCTCCGGGGCCCGAAATTTTCAAACTCCAGGCTAGCTGCATCAGGCCAAACCCGCACAATATCGACAGCCCCGATAAACTCTGGAGAATATATCGGCGAGTCTGGCCGGAATTACAAGATTGAACGGACTCTCCAGGAGGAGACATTCCCTCCACGCCGGGTTTGCCTTGCTAAGTGAGCCCCCCAATCTACTCCGTATGACCATCTAGTTGCTCACCACTCTTTTAGTGCTGCCAGTGACAAGTTCATCCTAAAGTACATCCATCCAGTTAACTTCAGTAACCTTCGGGAACTAAACTGTAAACTACTTGGTACTGGCCATGTCCGTCTCCCACAAGACATACTCCCAGAGAAATCAATGTTCGTTTTTGAGTATTTCACTGGCCATCTCTTACGACTTGCTCAGAATGATCTGCCTCTACAAGTCACCAAAAGGATTCTTAAAGATGCCCTGCGTGGGCTAGCGGAGCTCCATAACAGGGATATTGTCCATACGGGTATGTATTGTCTTTTGCAGACGAGAGAGCCAATACTTATATTAGGCAGATATCAAGGCAGATAACATATTCATCGACTGGAAAGGCGATGGCAAAGATATCAACGTGGAGCGAGTTCAGCTGGGAGACCTTGAAGATGCTGCTTACATTCCTCCCGGGTCAGCGATGATTGGAAAGCAAGCAGGAAACGAGATGTGGAGGAGTCCCGAAGCCCATGCATCAGGGCCTGTGAATAAACCATCTGACATCTTCTCTTTTGCTCTTGTCGTAAGTCTTAATACTAAAAATCCCAGGACTTCAAAGGCCTAGTTGCTCATCTTAATAGTGCATTTATGCAGTACACAAACGGGTCATCTTTGCGGTTGGGGAGGAGGAGTTGGAGGAAAGGATAAACCCGTTGTCTATTATAATAGAACGGCAAATTTCATACTTTGCAAATGAAGATGGCATAGATGGGCTTGTCAAATACCTAGGAGACAGTCCTTGGGTCCACATTTTCCAAGTCATCCGAGATGGCTTCAACAGCGACAACCCACGGAGGCCGTTTGCTCTTTGGAAGGATGTTGATGGGGAGTTTAAGAGCCTTATTTGTGCCATGACCAATTTAGATCCAGAGAAGAGAATCACTGTCGATGAAGCGCTGGCACACAAGTGGTTTGAAGGAGTTTAAGACGCACACGTGGAAGCAAAGTCTCAAGGAACAAGTCCCGAATACGCTCTAATATACGGAAAATATACTATCAGTTTTGACAAACAAGGTCAAGTAGCAGAAGTAATTGGCTATAGAGCCTACTTAGTTTGAAATAGCACCGCCACCGCTTCGCGATAATATTAGGCTTATACTTACTGGACTACGTCTAGATCTAGTCTCGTAATCAGCATACTATTTGTATCTGGTTGATGATGTATACTTACGGGACAGGCCTAGCATCGCGAGGTTTGATATAATAGGCCAGCAGGGGGAGTACTTCCCGTCTTGCAGGAAGGCAGCCTAAATTCTCACCATTTTCTATATATAACCAACGACATTTGACATGGCCACCTGTCAAAAGACAACTTCATCCCGCGTTCCACTTGCGTGGGCTCACCCTCTTGGTTGAATGGTCTGGCGTTTAGACGCAAATATTGCGGTCATCGGTTACTATTTGCCCTTCACTTTCAATAGAAGCTGAGAAAAATGTTCAGGCTCTCACCCGCCAAACCTTCCTCCTCAGGTACCAACCCAAAAGCCCCGCCAACCTCAGCGGAATACGACAATGGGCTGAGAGTCGAAGCCAAGAACGTATATATGGTTCTGTCGTCGACGGCGCTGCCACGAAAGTACGACTGGGGAATACTTATCGCCTCTAACGAACTGGGAGGAGTCATTTTCCACCAGACTCTCAACGGAACCGTCTGGCGATATATAGTTGAGTTCGAGGATATTACGAGATCCACGGCATTGCTCGTCGTTTTAAAACTCGGCGAGGTCCCAGACATTACGGCTGAGTGGATGGACGCCATAAAGCAGTGCATCCAGGCCACTGAGGTGCCAGGAGACGAGTTTACTTGTCGAACCTGGGCTCTCGCGGCGATATATGAACTTGCCAACTGCGGGTTTATCGGAATGGAGCCAAGCTGGGATATCATGAAGAAGATTGAGGAAGAGGCCAACGACATCGCGACGGACGCATTATTTTCCAACCAAAAGCTCGTCATGGATAGTCATCAGTGTACCCTTTGAGCCATCTGGATTGTAAGGAGATCCATCATTTTTATTTTCACCGTACAGTTCATTAGCTCGTTTGTCATGCGATCGTGAGATCATTTAGGGTTAGTTAATGGAAGGAGAAAATCAGTAATGTGGAAGCGGAAGAGGAGAGAGTGTTCCATTGTACCGACAGTTTATCAAAACACAGGCTTTGCTATCCAAAGTAGCTTCTCTGGCTCTACTTCATTATGGTAGCTGTTTTCCCAAAGCATAACCCAACTCTACTTCAGTATCTTCGTAACCCATATGTGGGCAAATCGCTCTTGTATATTCCCAATGCTCCTGTTTAAAGCATGTGCTTTCTGAGTTTATGGGCCGTAAAATTGAATTACAGACACGTAGATCTGAATGTGTAAAACGTACTCCGTATAGCATCACTTTTCTCATAGAGATATAGTATCTGGCACTTGTATCTTTGATCCTCAAGCCCTCCTATAACCAAGGAAGTCTGTAAATTCAGCTTCAGTTCGATATGGGCCACATGTTATCAGCCCGATGATCGTAACTAGTGGGACCACCTAGGGTATCTCCGATAAGGTAGTCCTTGTGCAAATTTTGTCTGCGACAATTCCCGAGATACACTACCGAGATCTTTTCCAACTATGCACCTATCCACAGCCAAATACTAGTTGTTGACCACCTATCGTTCAATCCCGCTGATGTTGATATCACTGCACTCCAGATAAAGTTCTGGCTCTAGCGGCCATCGACTGATTACATAAGCCAAAGTTCCTTTCAAACCTCCAGGAGCATCGTCGAACTGCAGGAAATAGCATAGCAGCTGTATAACTGAGCCAAACTGGGAATGCACAATGGCGTCCTCTACGCTTCGGACAGCTATCAACAGCCGCCAAGTGTACATTCGAATGCAACCGGCTCCTCGCACTCTATCCCAGAGCAGAGCGGTTTTGAAATCATTGCAACAGTTTGGGGAAGTATCCTCATTTCTTAATACAAAGGTAGAGCCAACCGATTCTCTTACAGTTTAGAAACCGCAATTCTAATCTGCAGAATAGTATTTCAAAATTCGAACGTCGACATCTGGGGGCACGGCATTTGCGATCTTTGAATCACCTGAATCCGCCTCCAACGCTATCAGGGCCTCGCCGTTGACAGTTCCTCTGCCTAGCCCGAGACCGAACACTTCCAACTCGTATATCCAAGAACACCCAAGCTCCTCCAACCCTACCGAGAATGCCATGCTTCACCCGTCTGACACATCTGGCGAAGCCATCGAATGCACGATTACAGAATCAGAGTATGACCACAAAGCAAACATGAGAAAAAACCCATATAATATGGGGTTTCAAATCTCAAGGCATTGGATGGAGGTGCAGGATTTAATGCGCGCGCCAGACAACCGAGTTCCTCTGGCTGAATACGCGGATTGTTTTACGAAACGGAAATTTTCGATGCCGTTTCGAGTTCAAGACCGGTACTTTGAAAACACGGTTAAGGCGGGAGGAACCTCGTTGATGCAGATGTGGAAGCAAGGATTGGAGGAAGAAAAGAGGAAGAAGGAAGAAGATTCCAAAGGCCTCGATGCTGAACGCCCTCAACAAAATACTGATTCTGGCTGAGATTCATTTTACCCTAGAGTCTGATCTACACGTTTGGCAAAACTTTGGACATTGGCGGTCGAACCATCGTCTTTTCCGGATAAGCAGCACGTTTGACGTCGTAAGTCTATATTGGGCCATGGCCACCTATCATTCCTTTTAAGGTCGGTTCTCTACCCAGACGGAACAACGAGTGCATAAATGCACCTGAGCTGGGTAAAGGCAGATACCCACGGCCATAGTTGCCCAATCTTAGTGGCTACAGGATCTTTCCTCTTACTCACACTTGGAATAGAGTCGAGTGACCTGAAGCTACAGATGGATGTCCCCCTGTCACAAATTGGCATATGTTCATCTTTCGGACATTTCCTTGGAGGAAACTTTGGCAGAGTGGATGTCATGCGATACGACTAGACCTCCGAAATAACCCCCAAGTCACTTTACAAAGTGCTAGGGCCTTCATTCCAAATTTAGGACCCTGTTGTTCAGTTTTCAATTGAGCATAGCCGGCGGTCACTCTATGTTTATTATTCCATGACAAGTAATTTGCAGCAATTGTTTAGCAACACTCTGCTAGCATTATTATACCAATGATATTTTCCAAAACTAAATTTATACATATTCAGATGAATGACATCCCAATATCAAAACTTTATCCAAAGATGGGGAAATTGATGCCATACTACGATACCAAAGTCAGCATTAGTTATGAAACTGTGAATTTTAAAAAGAGCAGGTTATCACTTACACTTGGAGGGTCGTTGAACCGTAATCCTTGGTTGAGAGCACTAATAGTGGCAAGTTCGTTCGCGGTAAGGTTGAAGCTGGTTGCATCAAGATTCTGCGCAAGCCTCTCCGGGTTGTTGCTCTTCGGGATAACAGCGATGCCCCTTTGAGTTGCCCATCGCAACAGCACTTGTGCAGGGGTCTTTCCATGTTTCTCGGCAGAAGATCGGATGGTTGGATGTTCAAGCAGCAATTTGGTTCCAGTCGCCGCCTTGTTCTCCAATTCAATGAAGCTCTGCGGACCAAGAGACGAGTAGGCTGTAACCGCCAATCCTTCGCTTTGAGCATAATTGATCAAACCTTCCTGGGTGAGGTATGGGTGGTGCTCTATTTGCAGGGTGGCAGGTCTGATACGAGCATACCGCAGCAAGTCCATGATCAACTGAGAGCTGAAGTTGCTGATTCCAATGCTGCGCACGAGTCTCTTGTCAACGAGCTCTTCCATTGCTCCCCAGGTCTTGTACATTGGTACATCGCTAGCCTCGGCTTTCTCTCCGGGAGCACACCACTCTGGGGGGTATCGAACCTCGGGATCAACATATTTCAGAGAGATGGGGAAGTGAACAATGTACAGGTCGAAGTAGTCAATACCCCAGTGAGACAACTGGCGACGACAAGCTGGTTCAACATGTTTGGGATCATGAAAGGTTCCCCAGAGCTTGGAGACGATGAAGAGATCTTCTCGTTTCACGATTTCCTCTTTAATAGCCCGAGCCACGCCCTGCCCGGCTTCTTGTTCATTTCCATAGTCTGTGGGATCTAGATAAGCAACAAATCATGGAATTGGTAGATATATGCATAATATCACGTACCACAAGCACCGTCGAACAGTCGATAGCCAGTCTTGATGGCATTGTAGACCTGGTCAGCGCAGGTCTCCTTATTGACTTTCCATAGCCCAAACCCCACGATCGGCATGGCATACCCGCTGTTCAGTTTCACAGAGGGAGCCGTTAGATTTGGAGCTGTAGCTGACGCCATATTTTGGTATGTCTTCTTTTTGTGTTTGGGATATTATCTGCGGGTACGATTTTTGTCTGCAACTGAAAACTGCAATTCTAATTGAGTGGAAGAAGAGAAATTCGTGGTGGTTCGATGGCGATGGATCTTGGGAAGTTAACGTGCGGAAAAAAGACAATCAGTGGGTACGGCGTATTATTAACGAGGACGTGCAATTGAACCGTTCTGGATGATGTCAATATCTGCGACGATGCGTATGGGGTCGATCGGTCAGGAGTTATGGATCTAGGAATGTTGGTCTTCGAGCCTCTTCTTGTACTTATACTCGAGAAGTCGACTGAACTCCGAGATCCGAGATCGAGCATCACGTCGGGTGGCAACTGCACGACCAAGACGATGACGACAAATAAAAATGGGCTGGAGAGGCCGGCAACTTGGCAGTGGACCCGCGGGATGGCGTTCAGACGTCGCTTCTGGTGCCTACAGGGTGGTAAAAGGACATGAAAGGGAGCACAGGGGATGGCAGTGCTACGAGCCCGGGGTGAGAGTCGGGTAAACTACTGTTCAGAACACTAGACGGGATGCATTGCCCTCTATCAAACGGCTATCTATTAA